TCAGCTGGGTAGAAATGAGTTTGGTACTGTGGTTGTGGCTCACTTTTTTTGTTCCAAAATATGTCATAAAGAAAACGCGTTCTTTTTATATATTGGTTTTTGTAACCAAATATATCATCAAATTAAAATTTCGTGCTAAAAAATCCACCACACGTTGGAACACTCATAAAACATTGATTTAGAATATTTTAATAAAAATTTATGTATATCAAATTTAAAATAGAAAATTTGTTATGATGTTGTGTACTGTGTTCCAAACCTGCCATTTCAAACAGACCATAATGGGGCCTAGTGGCTTGGAGTATATCAAGCTTTTTTTGGGCCACAATACTGAACACAGCCTAAATTGGAGTGATGAAATGTTTCTCTGAATTGTCCATGTTTGTTTGCAGTGCAATTTTCATTTGTATTAATGCAAGTGTATGGGGATGCAAATTCTAGTTTACCTTTATTTTGCTTTATTTGTGTATTTGTAGTAAAATTGGAAGTAAATATGTGATCCCTACTTTTATGTGAAAGAATATGATAGTGGGAGGAATTGGGTTTGTTTGGGACTAGTCAAATAGGAAGTAAAATATTGTGATTCCCAGGCTCTGTTTGGAAAGAGTATAAAAACAAATATTTATTGTATAAATACATACAAAATAATATAGAATACAAGATTTTGCACTCTATGTATTTGTATTTGTTTAATGAATTCAACAAATAAAGGCCCATTTGACTCATAAGAGCAAATCGAATTGGCCCACATTGTTTTGTTGGATAGAATCAAAATCTGATTCTTCTTCCTGGTGGAATGGCATTCCAGCCAACAAAAGTAAGACAAGTGACTCCCCAAACCCTATTTCTCTTTATCCCAATGCCAAGCCGCCCTCTCTCTATCTTTATCTGTGCAAATAGGCCACTTGGGATAGAATCAAAATCCGATTCTTCTTCCTGGTGGAATGGCATTCCAGCCAACAAAAATAAGACAAGTGACTCCCCAAACCCTATTTCTCTTTATCCCAATGCCAAGCCTTCCTCCCCCTATTTTTATCTGGGCAAATAGGCCACTTTGATATGGATTTCCATTTGAAACATGAATAAAAAAAGTGGAGAAATAGGCTATTCCGATTCTGATTCTAAGGGATGTCAACTCCAATTCCAATTCCCACACTAAACTAAAAACCCAAACAGGCGCATAGTCCAAATTAGATGGTTGGAAATTAATCATCTAGATCCCAAACTCATTAAAATGGATGCGGATCTGGGGAACTCCATTGGCCCATTCGGGACTAGCATAGACTACAGAGTTAGAATTGCCACTCCTAAACGGCAACCTCGAAGTAGGAATTTATTACTTCCAAAACTCATCCACTCAATCAACAGCGTACAAGGCACATTATTTTATAAATTTGGCGTGAGCATGATTCATGTGAAAGCGTCAAGTCAACATTTATCATCTAATTATTTATCCATTCATTTTCAACCTTGCCAAATAGGTATGGCGATAGGGTAGGTTGGGGAGGGTTTTGTAAATTACAAATCCTCTTGCCTCCCAAAAACCTCCTCAACACTAATTTGCATCTAATTTTTTTATTATTTCTATTATATATAAATAATAATAATAATCAAACAAAAAATAATATGAATATTTCCAATTATTTGATTGAAACATGTACAAAATATATAAATTAAGACTAATTTTAATGATAGACAAAAATTATAAAATATATATTTTAAATCAAATTGAATCGAATCAGATTATATCGGATTAGATAGAGGTAGATCAATACTTAATCTAATTATAAACGGATGGAATTTGGATTAAATAGGGGTAGGATCGAATTTGAATTCGAAGTCGGATAATTGGATACCGTGTGCAATCATTCCGTACAAAATATGGAAAATGAATCGTGTTTAAGTCACTAATTAAGAGTTCGAATTTCAAAGGCCCAAAAAGGATTTTGATCGAACACAATGGAATGGAGAAATGGGATTCATGTAGTTATCTTAGAAAAAAACTTTAGCTCTTTTAAGTTGTAGGTAAAATTGCTTTTAACGGTGGATAACGAATCAACGCCTCCTTATTTTTATCAAATTTTTTGAATGCTGGATGAGTTAATTTTAAATCCACCATGGAAATGTTATTGTACCTATAATTCAATTGGAGTCAAAGTTTTCTCAATCTTATATAATTGAGATCAGGCTTAGATGATAATGAGGATGAGGATTTAGGCTATGTTTGGGAGTGTTTAAAAATAAGTGCTTATTTGGGCCATTAAGCATTTATTAGTATTTAAGAAATAAACATGAAATAAGTGTTTATTTTAAAAATAATGGTTTATTTTTTAAGTCCAAATTTTCAGCTTTTTTAAAGTTGTTATACAATAAGCACTTATTCGATTTTTTTTCCTTCTAAAACTATCCCTAGTTGAATTTTAAAATACCACTTATAATATTATCCCTATTTTAATTTTATAAAAGTACTTTTGTGAAAACACTTTTACGAAAGCATTTTTATAAAAGTACTTTTATGAAAACACCTTTACAAAAGGACCTTTATAAAAGTATTTTATGAAAACACTTTTAAGAAAGTACTTTTACAAAAGCATTTTTACGAAAGCACTTTATAAAAGTACTTTTCTAAAAGTGTTTCCATAAAATTCACAAAAGTGCTTTCATAAAAATACTTTCAAAAAAGTGCTTTCGTAAGGGTACTTTCTTAAAAGTGCTTTCATAAAAATACTTTTTATAAAAGTGTTTTTGTAAAAGTGCTTTCACAAAAGTATTTTTATGCTTTCGTAAAAGTGTTTTCATAAAAGTGCTTTCATAAAAGTGTTTTTATAAAGAAAATAAAGGATAAAATAGTCACAAATGCTTATTTAAGTGCTTAATAAAGAAAAAGGCTACCAAATGCCCAATATAAACTTGAAAAAGTTGGGTGCCAAATGCAAATAAGTGCTTATGTTAAAAATAAGTGTTTATTCGAATAAGCACTTATTTGCATTTGGTACCAACTTTTTCAAGTATTTATTTTAAAAAAATAAGTGCTTATTTCATATTTGGGATCTAGTGGTTTTTTCTTCAATAAGCACTTGTGACTCTTTTGTCCTTCATTTTCTTTCAATTTTTCAAAATATTCCATGAGGGGTGGACACATAAGTTGGAAATTCGGGTGGTGTTTGATTATTGCCTTCATTACTAGAGTTGCATATCGATCTGAAACCCCAACCTGGAATGAAAACACATATCTCCATTGCTGGCAACAGATCAATCTAAAACCTAGATATCCACCGCTGGAATGAAAACACAAATCAATCTAAAAACCGGTTCGATTTTGAATCCATATCTCCACCGCTGGTAATAGATCTCTGCCACTAGTAATAGATGAACGATTTCCACCACTAGTTACAAAGGGTAATGAAGAAGAAACTATCGGTGGCCCAAACCATGGTTTTTAAAAATGAACCGGTCAGGGGTCCGGTTATCGATCCGAACGGTTAGACCATTTGACCCGAATGGCCGGCTTGTTCTGACAAAAAAATAAAAAAAATTAAAAAATTGCAAAACTATTAACCGGCCGGTTCAGCAGTTTGCTAACCAAAATCAATGGTTTTGAGGGAAAAAGCGGTTTTGGAGAAAAATGGCAGTTTTTCTGGTCCGGTCTGGTTGAAAACAGTGGCCCAAACCATACATTTTTACATTTGAAGGGCATTATTGGAGTTATAAAAATTAAATAAGGATAGTGTTGGTAGAAATGGATGGAATAAGGCTCATTGTTTAAGCACTTAAAAAACTAGAAATTTTAAAATAAGTACTTATTTTCCAAACACCAATAAGTGCTTAATGGTGTGGTCCTGACCCAAAATAAGTGCTTATTCGAACAAACACTTATTTTTAAGCATTCCCAAACTTAGCCTTAGATTCATCTATAATTCTACTCATAATATTGTTCCAATCATAGAAAGCCCTCCTAGCACCCTTCTCCTTCATACAAGGTGGAGAAAATAACATTATTGTAGATCTCACATAAAAAAAAAAGAATAAAGGTGTCGTTTTTGCAAGTCTTTGTATAAAGATCTTCTAACAGCTTAGATGATCAAAAGACATTTTGAACTTTTGGGGCCTTGTCTTTAAAGAAAAATACAGTTTTATAAGTGGCTCAGTCTACCGGACTTTTAAAAAACACGTTTAGATGCTATCTATCATGCAAAAAGACCAAAAAACTTCATTTGAAGCTTCCCGAAATTTGGCCTTTACAGACGTTTTATACTCAATCTATTTGCAATACCATTTATTTGTATAAATGCAAATGAAATTCTTACCACAAGCAAACAGAACTTAAAAATACAATTCCAAATTGCCATTTATGAAATTTATTTTCTTGTTTATAAAAATACAAATTTGTTTTCCCCTAGATAGAAATGCATCTTCTCCCGTGGATCCCTTATGCCATATTTTACGGTTGTTTTTCATATCTATTTTATGTTATATGACACGTGACAAAATATAAATAATAATAGTTGAAAAATAAAGTTCCACTTATCTTTGTTATTTAACTCTACTAATTTCAGTCATTATTACTCTTTTTTTTTTTCAGCCGGCTTTCTAATTTTCTATATATCTTTTTTATTTCATAATCGAAATTTCAGTTTTTTTAAAACCTTGGTCCTTTTTTTTTGGTAATATTAAAACCTTGGTCCTTGGTCCTTGGTCCTTGGTCATGACTCAAGAGTTGCCAACTTGCCATGTTCCAAAACAGAAAGTCCGTTCAATCGACGGCTTGGCGTAAGCATGATTCATCGGAAAGCGATAGAGATGGATGATGGATTACTTCAAACGAGAACGAACACCGCCAAATGAGAACGAATCAAACCGTGCCAAATAGACATCGCCCGTCCCTATCAGCCCATCATCATCCATTCCTCCCAACTGAAATTCGAAAACGTATTAAGCGAGCAAAACGTGTTCAGACTTGTATAAAACCTCTCTCTCTCTCTCTCTCTCTCTAAATTACAGGAGCGAGTTCGTTGGGATTGGATTATAGGGGTTAGAGGTTTTTGGAACTCTGCCTTTTCTTTTTCCTTTTTTAAATGTTTTCGTCTACAAAATGCAAATTTGCATCACAGACGCCAACCATTATTAGCAGGACATTGCAGGTTCGGTAGTTATTTCGTTTATTTGATTTTGTTTTGATTCAAGTAATCGAAGTTGGGTTATTATTTCGTTGCAGCTCTATAATAATAGATGGTTCAGAGATTTGGACGATAGAAGCTATGTTTTAGTAGCGTAGGGAGCTTCTTTCCTTGCTGATACGGATCAACGTCACAGTTTGATTCCCGTTTTTCTTTTCTGGTTTCTCGAATTTCTCAAAATTTTAATTTCTGGTTTGTGTTTCGGAGTTATATTTATCCTTCTTTCTTTCACTGTATGTCTCTCTGTTTTCCTGTTTACGTCCCTCGTGGGGTTTCTGGGTTTTTGGATTTTTGAGAATTGCTAGCTTTTAATTTTCTTGTTCTGGTTTTTTGGGTTTGAATTTTTGAGAAATGAGAGCCCGGGTTGAGGATCCTTCTCGGGTTTTGGGTGGAAGTTGGTTTCAGTGGTCAAATCATTCATTTTAATCTCTGTTTCTATCAACCCAATTCGCGATTTGGTTATTTGAATCTGTATTTTTGAGTCTTCATTGCCTCTTTTGAATGAGTTCGACTTCAGTCAGCGCAAACTCCGTTAGAACACTGTTCGAACAGCCTTTACAGTCTTGCATTGGGAACATCTCCATACTTTTGTGCTTTATTTCATGGGAGATACTCTCAATGCAATGCTATAAAGATGTTCGAAACTTCGAATGGGGCTGACTGAATCCGGTTTCCTTTTGAAATGTTGACTCATTTCTGTTAATCCTGGTTGAAGTTTAGAAAAGAGCCACAGCCACCAATTCTTTCTCTGCATTCGGCTAAAGGTACGAAGTTTGGGTTGAAAATCCGATTTTGTTCCCTCTCTCTGATAGTTGAGAAGCTGCGAATTCAGGTCTGAGAATATAAACCAATTTGTGTTTTTTTTCTCCTTCTCCATTACCGGCAATTGATTCTACAAATTAGGGTTGGAGGGCAAAAACTCGTATTGGATTTTCTTCGATAGTCGTTTCTTGTTTGTGCTCTGAAATCTTAGTTTTGAGAAAATTTTGAATATCTAGTATACCCTGAGTTCCTAGTGCTAGTCTTGGAGTAGAACTTATGTTCTTTCCCCTCTCTCCTGTTGTTTTTTGATATCGAGACAGTTGGGCTTGCTTGCTGTCAATAACTTTTTCGAGATAAGATATGGATATCAGTAATGAACCCAACGTTGATCCATTCTCAATCGGACCCTCAACGATCATTGGGCGGACAATTGCTTTCAGGATTTTGTTCTGCAGGTCGATATCCCAATTAAGGCAGAAAATTCTCCATTTTCTATGGAATTTTCTTTGTCGGTTTAGAGACTTTCTGCTACCGGTGGTTTCTTCGTTTCATCCCCGGAATCCACAAGGGATATTGGTAATGGTGACACTCATAGCTTTCCTGTTGAAGAGATACACAACTATTAAGCTAAAGGCGGAGATGGCTCACAGGAGGAAATTTTTGAGGAATATGATGAGAAATGCTTTGACATACGAGGAATGGGCTCATGCAGCCAAGATGCTGGACAAGGAGACCACCAAGATTAACAAGTCGGATCTTTATGATGAAGAACTGGTAAGTAATAAGCTCCAAGAGCTTCGACACCGTCGTCAGGAGGGTTCTCTCAGAGATATAATTTTCTGTATGCGTGCTGATTTGGTCAGAAATCTGGGTAATATGTGCAACCCGGAACTCCACAAGGGAAGACTTCAGGTGCCAAAACTCATAAAGGAATACATTGATGAGGTTTCAACTCAGTTGAGAATGGTTTGTGACTCAGACTCCGAGGAACTTCTCTTGGAAGAAAAGCTCGTATTCATGCATGAGACAAGACATGCATTTGGGAGGACAGCGTTGCTCTTGAGTGGTGGTGCATCGCTGGGGGCTTTTCATGTGGGTGTGGTGAAGACACTTGTGGAGCATAAACTTCTGCCCAGGATAATTGCAGGCTCTAGTGTGGGATCCATCATGTGCTCCGTTGTTGCCACAAGGTCTTGGCCTGAACTTCAGAGTTTCTTTGAGGATTCTTGGCACTCTTTGAAGTTTTTTGATCAGATGGGTGGGGTTTTTGCGGTTGTTAAAAGGCTTATGACCCAAGGAGCTGTTCATGAGATAAGGCAGTTACAGATGTTATTGAGGCATCTTACAAATAACCTGACATTCCAAGAAGCATATGACATGACTGGCCGTATTCTTGCAATCACAGTTTGCTCCCCAAGGAAGCATGAGCCTCCAAGGTGTCTTAACTATTTGACATCGCCTCATGTTGTTATATGGAGTGCAGTGACTGCTTCTTGTGCTTTTCCTGGTTTGTTTGAGGCTCAGGAACTGATGGCGAAAGACAGAAGTGGTGAAATTGTTCCTTACCACCCACCATTTCACATGGATCCTGAAGAAGATAATGGTACATTGGTGCGTAGGTGGAGAGATGGTAGTTTGGAGAGTGATTTACCCATGTTGCAACTGAAGGAACTGTTCAATGTTAATCATTTCATTGTCAGTCAGGCCAATCCTCATATTGCACCATTATTGAGGCTAAAGGAGCTTGTCCGAGCTTATGGAGGAAATTTTGCTGCCAAGGTATGTGGATGATCTTAAGTACTTTATGACATTTACTGTTCTCAATAACATTTGCATCCTCCAGTTTCTCTAAGCTATTTTGTTATATGAAGCATCAAGGCATACTGAAGATGCTCAGGGACTCCTAAAACAGTTGGGTGGGATATTTGCTAGGATACGGTTCTTTACAATTGACGCATGACCAAACTTCCTACATCAGGGAGGACAGGAGGGTTCTGCAAAATACACATAGAAGTTGTTGGTCAGTTTCATCACATAGTGTTAAAAATGCTTATGTTGAAGTGCAGTCTGAACCCTTCACAGCTCAAAAGCACATTTCCTGGAAGATCTCAATTACTTGGGAACAATAGCCAATCTGTTGATCATTCAGTTTCTAGCACATTGTTGGCCAATGACCGATACTACATGCTTCAAATCTCAAAATTAAATTGCTTGACCATTGTCTAATATCCCTTCTGATTGGTCTTCAGATCTTTGAGCATCTGTGCCATATGTATGTCGTTCATCTGTATTTGGAATACATACACAAACTTTATGTACTGATTATGCCATTTGACCTACTTCTGTTCTCAAGCTGAGTCACTTGTGCATGTGGGCATTTACTCATTGCTTTTGTTCCTTGTCAAGTGATTGTTAACTTGATCTTTTAATTTTCTAGCTTGCTCATCTCATGGAAATGGAAGTCAAGCATAGATGCGACCAGGTACTGGAACTTGGCTTTCCATTGGGAGGACTGGCCAAGCTGTTTGCACAGGAATGGGAAGGTGATGTTACAGTTGTTATGCCTGCCACACTTGCCCAGGTAGGTTTGAGGTGCTGCTAGGTTATTTTATGCACGTATTGATGGTATTCTGTTTATTTAAATAACAGTATGCAGACTGATTCAAAATAGATTTTCCAGTGTTGGATTAACATACCCATTTTTTTTATGTTTTCCTTATTTTTGTTGTCTATCGCAGTACTCAAAAATTATACAAAATCCATCTCGTGTAGAGCTCCAAAAGGCTGCTAATCAGGGCAGGCGGTGCACCTGGGAGAAGCTCTCTGCAATAAAAGCCAACTGCAGCATTGAACTTGCACTAGATGAATGTGTTGCAATTCTTAACCATATGCGTAGGCTCAAAAGGAGTGCAGAGAGAGCTGCTGCTGCTGCTTCTCATGGGTTGGGAAGCACAGTTAGGTTCAGTGCTTCCAGAAGGATCCCCTCATGGAACTGCCTTGCACGAGAGAACTCAACAGGATCCCTTGATGAAATTTTTTCAGATATTGCATCCCCATTGCAACAAGGTGTTGGTGTACACATAGGAGGACCATCTTGCCAGAACATTAGATTCCACCGCAACACACATGATGGAAGTGATAGTGAGTCAGAGAGTATAGACCTCAATTCATGGACAAGATCTGGTGGACCCTTGATGAAAACAACTTCAGCAGATAAGTTAATTGACTTTGTTGAAAGTTTGGATGTTAATGCAAAATCCACTAGACCATTGACTAGGGAAGATGAGATCAAAGGGCTGATGGCTCATTCCAATTCCATTGTAATTCAGATAGTGGAAAATGATCCATACTTTAACAGTTCAAGGATAATAGCACCAGACTCTAGGATAACAACACCAGACAGAAACTCTGACACAGAGTTCAATCAGCAAGAGGCAATTAATAGAACTTCTTCCAATAGCATCACGGTGACTGAAGGAGACCTCCTGCAACCTGAAAGAGTCCATAATGGTTTTGTATTCAATGTTGTGAAGAAGGAAGACTTATCTCCTACTCACAGGATTCTGGAATCCGAAAGCCCCCAAGCTTCATCTCAGAATCCCATTGCAGAATGTATGCAACTTGAATGTCTAGAGAAGGAAATGGATGCCAGCTCAACATCTGAAAATGGTAATGATGATGGAACCATCTCTAACAACCTTCAAGAAGCTAATCCACATGGTAGTTCTGAGGATCATTTTGTCTCAAACCAAGATAGTTCCCTATCTGTGGACCCATGAGATTTTCAGTCCCTCTTTCCTGCAGTAATGCATGCAACAGTTGGACGGAGCTCCTTTCCATGATTTCTGTTACAATTTTGGGGTAGGCTAGGGGATGTCACTCTTCAAGAGAAAATTCAAATTGACATGAAACCTGAACTTCAAATTCAAGCTAGGTGACAAATAGAAATGGCAGAGTCCTACTGTTCTTATGGACCCTAGAAATATGATGCTGGATTGTGTATACTTCTGAGAGGGAGTTAGAGACAGCATTCCACGAATGTAATCTCATATTAAAGTAAAATCTAGTATCAATTTTATCCATTTAATTAATCAATAAACATCTTATCTTATATGGCCATAGTCATACTATTTACAAAGTTTATGATGGATCCCAGGCGAATAACCCACTATCAGGTCACCGGGCCCATTCGGTGTAGGAAAGCCAGGCCCACACGGGTCATGAAGCCATGCAGTGAGCAGCTGCGGCACATGCCAAACATTACAAACCTCCCCTGCGATTTGTTTATAACTGTAGGCCACGTCCTAACCACCCACATGCAGAGCTCGAAGTCATGAAGAGCTGATTAGTGTGAGAGCCTATATAAGGCCATGATTAGAATAGAATGGACACAAGAATCATAACTACCTTGTTTTCCTTCTCTCTTCCTCTTCTTTCTCTCTCTTATCTCTCTTATCTCTGTTTCTGGAGGAAGGAGCTCCCTCGAAGAAGCTCCGCCAACTTAGAGTCCATCATTTCATCCATTCATTCATTTTTTTCATTTCTTCTGTCATTCTCATTTGTTTATAATTAATTTAGGTGTGGTAGTTGAATCTTTAAATGCTTTTCATAAGTCTTTTTCTTTCTCCATTTTTTCTTCAGAGGAGAAATATGGACTTTGTGGCTAGGCTTCCAATCAATTTCTAAATATGATTTCATTTGCTGGGAGGTAAGATATGAATGATTGCTGCATTTGAACCACAGAGCAAGGCAATTTTGAACAGAATGGTGAGCAGAGCTCTGAAGCAGCCATCCAGGCCTTACAGAAGTGAGGCCATTGCTAATGTTAATTTAGACTTTTACTCACAGAAGTGAGGACCATTTTGTCTCAAATTACAAAAGGAAAAAATTGTATCACCCTTGTAGCCTCCTACAAGATACCAAGGCAACATGTAACTAATGCAAATCTTTCACATGTCAACCCATGTACCTCACATGATTGATTTGGATAGAGTAATTTGCAAGGATCCCCTTTGCCCATTTTGTGATTTAAAGGTCTCCAATGTATTTTGCTCTCTAAACCAATAAACCAAAACAAGCACTATTTTGAAACTTTCAGTTTTTAGTGAAGCCAAGGCCCATGGTTGATTTAGCAGATCTACTAAGTTGCACCTTATGCCCTTTCATGATGCACCAAATTTCATCAACTGAAAAATACACGAAGTGATTAGAAGATCCATTGAGTTGCACCTTATGCCCTTTTTTCTCGTCAACTTGCCTTTTTTATTTAATGATGATATTGTTGTTCTTTAATGGGATTATAGTCTTGGATTCAAATTTTCCTTGTCAAACTCCACCAGTGCGAGCTTGCCTTACACCGCCCTGGCACAGTATAAAGGAAGGTTATGTCAGGTTCACAGTTGGCATCAAATTATTTTTGCCAAAATCTTACGATCATGGATCTTAAATTGATTAAAAAATTTTCTTCTTTGTTTAGAATTGCAGATGGGTTAGAACTCTGTAACTAACAATTCCACTGTTCATCAAAGAGACGGCGGACCAACTGATGGTGGCTCAATTGGTAGGATCTCTGACTCATGAGAATAGAAACCTGGGATCAAATCCCACTGCCACTGTGGTTGGGGGTGGGGGTTAAGGGAGGGGGATGAGCTAAAAAAAGAGACCATGAACCACAAAAGTAGGAGATTATTGGTAGGGGTGATTGGGCTGGCGTGGGCTTGGTACTTATGATAAGGGCTATAGCCTAGGCTAGGCCCAGCCCATACCAGGTTCTAGGCTAATCCTGAGCAGTCTTTTGTCTATAGAATAGTACATATATTAAATAGCATATTGATGAAGGGAAATTTGGCCCGACCTTGCGATCGCCCGACATGTGGCAAAGGCAAGCAGCTCGGGACAGTAGAGCATCCAAAACGAACATCGGAAGCAAGTCCGAACTCACTACCGAGCCCGAACTCCAGACCGCTGCACTTAGTCCGAGCTCCTTGTTAAGAGCGAACTCCCTGTTAAAGGTCCGAGCTCCCTAAAACCCGAGCTCCCTAAGTCCTAGCTCGGTACTAGGAGCCCGAGCTCCCTGATAAGAGCGAGCTCCCTCCTGAGAACCCGAGCTCCCTGCAAGGAGCACAAACTGTACTGGGCCCCAAGCCTTACAAAGCTGACCCGAGCTGACCCGTGGCAGCTCGGAAC